AGTCAGAAAGAGTGAGATTTTCTCTTTCTAAATTATTCTACTTCGAACAGATTCATTGAACCTGGAGAAAATTGCGAAAATTTAAAAACTTTTGGTGCAAGACTTATGTTCCAACCTAATACATAGAAGTTTTTCTCAGTGGGTGGGGAGGGGTTGCGGAGCAAGGGTTAGGAAATGACAAATTCTTAGGGAGGATCTCATTTTAGTCACTGGAATCGTGACCGCAGGTTCTTTATGTGCGTAAAAATTACGAGCAATTTTGGAGAATGTGTTAGTTCATAAATGGTGGGTGGCAGCGTAGGAATGCCAGCGTTATTTGCCAAGCAATTCACTTAATGAGGCCAAACATTGTATATTTACTTTGACACTAAAGTGGGAAAGTATTTACGAGTGCGGAGGCTTGCCGTCGTTATCATATGTGGCCATGTTTACCTCATGTCACGCACTAAATTGACATTAGGATAATGTTGATGAGGAAATTTGGCAGTTTTAAGACAGTGCAACATTTTCGCAACAAAAGGGGAATTGCAAATCTAGGAAACGCTTTACTATTTATGGTTTTGTGCCACTATTATATTTACTGCTTGTGCATTCATTTGGCAAATCATATCAATCTTTGAATGTTCGATGAACTTGAGTTTTTACAGAAGACCTTTCCATCATCCCACGAACGTCAAATGGACGGAATTCTTTGTGGAGAAGAAGTAAGAGGCAATTCCGAGCGCTTATGTCAAGGTGCGGCAAATCGCGATTATTGTGCAAACGTTTCTTTTCATTCTTAGTTTTTTATCTAGGCATGTTCGTCCACCACGACCAGATCTTCGGCTGGTGCAAGTTTCGTCAAACGTTTGGTGTACACGATTTAGTATCACTTCAATGTCACCCAAGCACTTACCAGAATTTTTGGGACAGGTTTGTGGAATCAAGATTTATTCTTGACTTTTTTTATAAATATCTGTTCTTGCACTTCACTTTGCGGAAAATGTTGTAGCAAAGGTGCAGGAATTTTGTAGAATTTTGGAGACGCTGAAAATTTTTCTCTTTGTGTTTGTACTTCTTCCATCTTATAAAGTAGCATCTTCACCATACTTGTTCGATAAACTGACACATCACCAGCAGGTTATAGTGGCTACTTCAGGTTGTTTATAAGACGTCGGTGCTCCATCTTCAACCTCGTCAAATGACAATAGATATGGCCGTACTAGGAGGAACTCATGATCGAACCAGTAAGTATCAGATTTTGTTTACTTTTTGTCTATATTCTCCTGTATTTACATACCCTGTTTCTCAAGGGCATAATTTTTTGATGACTACGGTGTTTACAGCTTCATTATTGCTGAGTTCTCGCACTACCTCATCATGCACATCACCGGCTACGAGTGAAGGTGACATAGATGATTTGGCAGCGCTGGTATCTCAACAACGACTTCGCGACAACGATGGTTTAACTCGAGAGGAGCGAGCATTCTTCGACAGGGTACGTATAAGTATTTTTGCAAATTTTTTCTGTTAAACCGATTTTGAAATGTAGCCTTCCTGTTACTTTATGTTTTGATTTGACGCAATCAGTTCATTCTTGAATGTTTCCGCAAGTTTGAGGTTATCCACATTGTTACAAGTTT